AAAATACATAAGAGTAACATTTACTACATCCCCACCTATACGCGCGGCAACATCCTCCTACGTGGTTCTCATTTTCCTTTTTTTTTTTTTATATCTTACTGTTGCTAAGCATATTTTTTTTGTTTTTCGCCCTTTAAAATTAAAACAGCGCAAAATGAGTATAGAATTTTGCTCGCAGCACCTGTTGGCCTATGACAACTCGATAATCGCGTCGGAAAATGAGTAAGGCGCGAGAGGGGGATGCAGCTGCGTGGTGGCAGTTACGGAGAGAGTCGCTACAAAAACGTGTTGAACTGGGTGTGATTACGCTTGGCCCCTTTCTCCCCTTCCCCCCTTCCCGCTTCTCCACATGAGACACGGTGTTTTTTTTTTTTTCGTTCCCCCCAACGCAGCATAAAATCAAAGGCGGAAGAAAACCTGCAGCACATTGTCCAGTGCATGGACGCCCTGAAGAGCGGACAGGATGACTTCAGAGACCCGGCTTACCAAATGACCAAAACAAACCACTTCAACATACCTAGGTATTCAAAAATCCCCAAAGAGAAAAAAAATACAAAATGGGAAAACTTTGCGAAAAAGAAATTAATGAAAAAAAATAAAAGTGGATTGATTTACGACAAGAATTCCAAAGCGTGGGTCAGGCGATTTCAGAAAAAACAAATAAAAATAAATGAAGATAATGCAAACTTCGTTCATGAGTACAAACCGAGTGACAACATATATGAGGATCCTTTTGAAAGAATGGAAGAGGAAAAGGAAATTAAAAAAATGAAACATAAAATGAGAGAAATGAAAAATAAATTTCACCAGGAGGGCATATCCACGGAGGACATCAAGTACATTGCTCGCCAGAAAAAGAAGAGGGACAATCTCATGGACAATTTGAAAACGTAAGAGAGAAAGGGAGGGAAAAAAAAAAAAAAGGAGGGGACGCCGCAAGCGGTATAGGGGAGTATTACATACCAGCACCTCAACAACCCGCCTTTAGTTACAGACACGTAGGAGGGTCACACGTGTATCAGATGATGGGCTGTTTTCCCCCTCATAACCCTCTCCTTTACGACCTCCACACGTGGATGTGTTATTATTGCGTGTGTTCACGAACTTTGCAACCTTCATGCTCACCACCGCTATCCCTTTTTTTTTGTGTGTGTTCCCCCTGCAGGGCCCAAATATCCTCCTCGACGTTTGGGCGAAAAGACAAACAACTGAAAAAGGAGAAAAAAATGAAGGTGAGGAATAATGCCATAATGAAGCAAAAGTGCGAGACGCGCTTAGTCAAGGACGAAATTAAGCAAAATAATAAGCTGGCCTCCATTGTTTTGAAGTCCCTGTAAAAGGGTGGAGGTGGACCCATCGAGGCAATTTTCAGGGAATTTTTTTGTTCCTTGTTTGATTCATTTGCGAGTCCTGCTCTGGTATTTGACCCCCTTTGTGAAGAATAATTTGAGCGCATCGCATATCTGCCATTGGTAAGGGTATCTCCTTCAGACCAAATCCCAATTTGCACAGCCTCACACGAAACCGCGGCGCGTGCAGAAGTTTGTGTGGTTCTAATTAAGACGATGTTTTTTATTTATTATTTTTTTTTTTTTGCTTAATTAAGAGAAAAGCCATTCTCATCATTTTTATTTGCCTAATTTTCCCTCCAACTGATTTTTTTTTTTTGTCCTTTATGCGTGTGTGTTGTTAACCTCTCCCAACGCATGCTTTTCTTTCACCACATCCTTGTCGCGTACACACTTGCGCGCCCCCCAAAAAAAAACAGTAGTCGTGGTAGTAATCGTTACCCGGCAATTTAAATTTGCACCTGTATAGCTCATTATTATCTGCCCGTTATGGTTCAGATAAAAAAAAAAAAATTTTATGCATAACCCTTTAACCCCATTTGCGGAGAGACCAAAAAAGTGTATGCTTGGAGAGTAGTCCCTCTTTATAGTCACTGTCCAAGTGGTATAAAAAGGGGAAGCGGCATGGATTAAGGAAGAGGTGACCCACTTGTGTAGCCTTTCATCCGTTGGGTTGTCCTCCCACTAAAGAAAGTTGCAGCAAGAAGTAAATCTTTTCTTTCTTTTTTCTCTCCCCCCCTGTAATGGTGCTTGTGGCTTATCCGAGGTGACACCGCTATGGAATACATTTCGGCAAGGCAACAAACACCAAAGTTGAAGAGGTTGGCCATATAAAAATGTCGTAACCCCCAAGAGAGCCATTATGTGTGTCGGTTTGCCAGATGCTGCGAATAGGCTTCATCGGCATAGAAGTATATACAACCGCTGCAATGGTGCGCAGGAAAATGTACCTTGGAAGGCATCATGGTGGGGTATCCCTTCATAAGTAGTTGCAAAACAGTTTTAAAGAACATCTTTTTTGCTCCATCACCTCAAAAAATGGGGGTGCATCATTCGGGGTGATGTTGCCCAGTTGTTATATATAGTCCCCATGAATACACAATTAAGCCGCGAGTGGTTTTTCCTTTTGTTTTTTTTTTTTTCATCCATGCATGGGTTTCAAAAATGTGAGAAAGAAGGGTTTTGCTCGAAGTAAAAAATTACAGTGCACTGACCATTTGGTGTTCCTACACTGTTTTTTGCTGCTCCCCCGTTTGGCCAATTCACCATTTCTCCTCCGTTCCTCAACCCTGTCGCTCAATTGAGCAGAAAGCACCTTAGCGTTGTTGTATGTTATAGAGGTTTTTGACGAATAGCCACGAGGGGGAAACAAAAAATCGCCTGACCTTTTAAAAAAAAAAAAAAAAAAAATAGCTAGCTCGTTCAGAATATTTTTCCATCCTGCTACAATTCCCCACAATTTCGTCGCAAATTTTTTATGAACAGTCAGAATTTTTTTTTTGCGAACGTGTTTTGTGGAACAGTTTGCAGAACGCATATTCCCTACCGCATATAACATAGCCCAGTATGAAGTATGCACATTTGTTTTTGAGGCGGGGGGTAAGTTGCAGGTCGGCCCTGAGTGCGTGCGCGATTCAGAGAGCGACATTTAGAAGGTACTACTTCGCCAACGTGTGCCCAAATGAAATATGCGGGAAGGTGGTGCAGGGGCGCCTTTTCACTAGCAAGGCGGGCATGTCTGACAATGACGCCCACAAGGGCATGGATGCACAAAATGGAATGAGCGCAAGTGGCGGAATTGAGGAAGGTAAGAAGAAAAGCGAAAAGGGGAAAAAGGATGAAGAAGGCGAAGACGGGCAACACGGCCAGTTCGAACAGCAGGGAAAACATGCGGAGGGAGAAGAAAAGAACAGAGAACACATGAAGGAAATAAACTACGAAAAATTGAACAAGGCCGATTTAATTAACGAAATTAGGAAAACAAAACGAGACATAGAAGAAAAAATTGTGGACAATAAAATATTAAAAGAAAAATATCTGTCCGTATTGGCAGAAAATGAAAACTTAAGACACAGATATGTAAAGGAAATTGAAAATAGCAAATTTTACTGCATCAGCAATTTTGCAAAGTCGCTCCTGGACGTTGCAGATAATTTATCTCTAGCAATTAAAAACATCAACGAAGAATCGCTCAAGCAGAATGAAGAAATAAATAATATATACAAAGGCATACAGATGACGGAGACTATACTACATAATATTTTTAATAAGTATGGAATTGATAAGTATGACCCGATTAATGAGAAATTCAACCCCCTCTTCCACGAGGCACTGTTCGAAATTAATGACAGCACCAAGGAGAAGGGCACTGTTGCGACGGTTGTTCAGCAGGGATACAAGATAAAGGACCGCATCTTAAGGTACACCTCTTTGTGACTGTCAGAGACGTTTTACGGGACGTGTTAAGAAAGTTGACGTACCCGAGCCGATACCCTGTGTGCCTCTCCCCCATTCGACCATTACATATTTTTTTACACCCACCCCTTCCCCATTTTCCTTCCCCGCGCAGAGCTGCCAAGGTTGGAGTTGTTAAGAATTGAGTCCATTTAGAAGATCTCTCCGTGGTGGTTTCTATCACCCCTCTGCCACGGTATCAAGTATCCCTGATGTGTACTCTGCGCAGTTTAAAAAGGCGCACTGTTCGAAGGGGTGTCCCCCCTTATACAGAGATAGGGGGCGCAACCATTTTGTGAAGACCATTCACTGCGATCTTAGCGAGCGGTACTGAATTGACTTCCAATACCAGAATGTCATGAAGTTTTTTTTTTTTTTTTTCCTTTTTTTTTTTTTTTTTTACGCAAGGCGTATAGTCTCGTGCCCTTACAGCCCGATAACACCAAACCAGGCAGTCACAAAACGTGTGTACCGTTTTGTTTGCACGAAAGGATATGCAAACAGGTGTACGTATTTGTGAGCCTATACCTGTGGGCATATGCAAATGGAAAGGGCGGCACTTCAGTGGAAGAGCAAAGAGTGTTTGCATATTTCCACCTCCCAAAACGGAAGGCAGTTAAAAACGCGCAAAAATGTAAGCTACAGCGAAGTAACCAGTTGGGGTGAAATTCGAAGGCCGTGAATTCATTCTCATAGGTGAAAAGTGATTTAGCTGGGAAAGGGTCGGAAAAAAAAAAAAAAAAAAAAAAATGCGTAAAGAGGAGAAACGCCTACATAACCGTTTTAACAATGTTTTTATTTCCCCTTTCTTGTACACCTAAAAACTTTTCCTCAAAAAAACCCAAATGAAAGCTTTTAAAATGACCAAGGGGGAGAAAAAGGGGAACAACAGAGCCCAGCATAGCAGCTAGCATTAACCTGTATGCCAGCTCAAGGCTCTTTTTAATTCTTCCCCGTTCATGAGCAAATGCCCATCTCCGTTTGTGCACCCATTTCTTAACTGTCACTAAACCCAACAAACGGGGGGTAGAAAAGCACACAGGGTGTGATCTTATATTTTTCTCGTGGTCGGTCCAATTTTTCCTTTTCACTCGAAACAAAAAATAAAATAAAATAAACCTTACCACACCCGCAAGTACATATAATATCTACATCCGTTCCCGCGCTAATAACAGATTGAACTGGGTGGTGCATCTACCTCGTGTCTTGCCTTATGTATTACTGCCTCGTGCAAAAAACAAGTATGACTTGCAAATGCATAAGAATGAGAGCTCATTTGATCCTGCATGCACACCGATAATTCGCTACCCCTTTAATACGTGAACTTTGGGATAGAAAAGCGCGCCTTGTGGTTGGTTTAAAAAGAGAGCATTTAAATGTGTACAAGAGCAGATGATCAAATGTATTACATGAATATGTACGCACATAACCACACAAGCAAGTCATTCGTTTTGCTCTCCCTAGATGCACGCACTCGTCCCTCCCTCCATTCCTCATCTGCAAATGATATACAAGCCGTGGCGGGGATGAGCATGACCACCACCCGTATTATGTGTACCCCCCGAGTGAAGAGGTGACTACTTCGGGGCGTCCGACCTGCGGCACACATTTTTAAGAAAACATCGCGCTTGGGTTGGAAGTCTGCGTCATCCGTCGCCCCTAGGCTCTCCTCTGTACCCTCAATTGGCTTTTTTTTTTTTTTTTTTTTTTTTTTTTATGGAGTGTGTGAAATTTCTGCGCGTGGCAATTTTGGCAAACATTACACCAAATGACGTTTCACAAAAATTAAAAGCGCTGCTTTACAAAATTAAAAATAATTTTTTTTGCGTAACTTTATTTAAAGTATTCGCCTCCAAATGTGTTGAATTCAATTTCCCTACATTTTAATTCATTCCCTTGGCAATTCGAGTACGTGTGCTCCCTTGCACTTGGAATCCGTGTGCTTGCGCCATTTTTTGTTCTTTTGCTAATTTATTAACCCTATTGAGCCGCCCCACCTTTTTCGGCTCCCGCTGTGTAACACACAGCTACTTGCTCCTTTTTCCATAAAGGGATTTTTAATTGCGTATAATCCATAAGAGGTATATACTCTCAATTGAGTTCTTTTGCCTTTTGTGTTTCCCCTCCCCAACGTGAGTGTCAACTCAGCAAAAACGAACAAATTTAGCAAAGTGTATCAAGACATAAGCAACAAATTTGAAACAAAAAAAAAAAAAAAAAAAAAAATTGCACTTTTCTTTTCCTTTTTGCAACATATTTTTTCTTTTAGGAGGATTTTTTTTTTTTTTTTTCATTCCCCTCAAAAAAAAAAAAAAAAAAAAATTGCACCGTCCCACCCCATACCCACAATATCGAAAAGCACAAATTGAAGAAAAATAAGTTTTTTTTTTTTTTTTTTCTTTCTTTTTTTTTTTTGCATCGCAGAACTTTTGTTTATTTATACACCATTATCCTCACCTTCATTACAGATCTCCTTATGTGCTGTGCAAATCTGTACGCGTTATAAGAGGAGTACACACAAACGTATGTTTAACTGCTTTTATGTGTACTTAACATTCGCTGCGTGTGTTAATTGCGCATGAGAGCAAAAAAAAAAAAAAAAAAAAAAAACAGGAAGCAAGGACAGAAAGAAAAAGTACGTGTAGGTATTGGAAGGAAAATTGTTAACTGCTCTGTTAAGTGAACACATTGACGTGGCCCCAGCCGCGAACGGGAAAAAAACGCCATTTAACGAACGAGCACAACGACGTTAACTCAGAAAATTGCAAACTCCCATTTCACTGTCAATCGACTTGTGCATGTGTCGAGTTCAAATTTGCGGGAGTTCCACTTTGTTGAGTTTTCTCCCTCTCTGAGTTAGCAACTTTTCCTCAGTTGCGCATTTTCGAACGGTCAGACGGCTCACTGGGCACCTCGCAAACGGTTGACGCCAATTTGGTGCTGCGTGCAAAAATCGACACGACGCGCCATACATGCGACACACGCCATACACGCCACACACGCCACACACGCCACACACGCCAGTGGGTGTAGACCGTTCCCTGCGTGCATCCGTGTGTACAACAAGTGGCGCTCAGAGGGGTTGCCCCAGTTAGCCCCTTCCACTCCCCGCTGCGTACCTGTGTACATCCAGTTTTATGTGTGAATTTTTTTTTTCCGACATCGTTGTCACCAACGCAAAAGGGAAAAAGCCTGTGGCTGCGCTCCACACCCAGGCCCGCACGAATACACATATGATTGTACGTTCGTACATGTCCTGCATGTGTGATTATTCGTGTGAGCTAAGATACCCCTGCGTAAACCAACAAGCGTTAAAGCTCACCGAGTAAATGTACTCACTGCCTACGGAAGGTGCTGTGTAGGTGAAAAACCTTTCCACCTCCATAAAAAAAAAAAAAAAAAAAAAAAAAAAAAAAAAGTCACAACTGTGCATGCAACGGTATGCAGCACGTTTATGTAGGCTGATATTGTATATATATTTGCACTCCATTTGATTTATTTATTTTTTTTTTTTTCGTTTTGTTTTATTTCTTTTGTTTCCTTTTTTTTTTTTTCCGTTTTGTTTTTTAGTTGTTTATACCACTCTGCTTATTTGTTGTTCGTCCCGAGTGTTCATTCGTCCGATTGTTCATTCGCCGCTCGTCCATTTGTTCCACATTTGCTGCTCCTGCATGTTTGTCTCCTCTTCAACTGGAACGATCGCATCGCTCGAGCGAAGATTTGGCATCCACTCTTGAATATATAAATATATATATATATATATATATATATCTCCACTTGAGAATTTAATTCTCTTCTGTCTTGGTTAAGAGGCTTTTTCCTGTTTGCCAACGCAGAGGGAAGACCAAAAAAAAGCGTCGTTGATTTTCACCCAGTGAAAGCTTCATCGTGATATATGCTCCTTAGCATTATCCCATTGGGGTAGCACAAAACGGGCGAGGCAGCTGACGACGACGCGGACGAGGCAGCGGACGAGGCAGCGGACGACGACGCGCCTTTTCTCCCCTGCCCATGGAAGAGCAGAAGAAGAGACGACTGGACGACGGGAACAGAACAAACAGCATGGCAGAACCAACCTCGCCCTTCTCCATGAGGAGGAAAAGTAGCACTGGGTCTGTGAATTCACAAATCACAGAGACGAAAAACAAACAGGGGGTGTACCCAATAACGGAAAGTAATATAAGGATCCACGAGGGAGAAGACATAATCACCAAGGCAAAGGAAGTTTTACAAAAGCACGTAAGTAATGTATTTGAAAATGAAAAGACCTTGTACATATATTGCAAGTATGTCATGGTGCATTACGGGAAGGATCTAATCGACCCAAACCAAGTGCACTCATTACATTTTCAAATGATCAATGGTGGCATCACAAACATTTTAGTTAAAGTGAAAGATATGTCGACCCAAGCCCAGTACCTCATAAGACTGTACGGACCCAAAACAGATGAAATTATTAACAGAGAAAGAGAAAAAAAAATTTCATGTATTTTATACGATAAAAATATAGCTAAAAAAATTTATGTATTTTTTTCAAATGGAAGAATTGAAGAATTCATGGATGGCTATGCTTTGTCTAGAGAGGACATAAAAGAACCCAAATTTCAAAAGCTCATTGCACAAAATCTGAAGCTTCTACATGATATAAATTTAAGTGATAATTTATATAAAGAGATACAAGTGACTCAGAATGTGCCCGGGACAAGACCCTCCTTCTTGTGGAATACTATTTGGAAATATTTTAATTTGCTTAATGAAGAAAGGAAGAAAATATGTGCCTTCGATTCTAAAGCTAATATATTGAAGCTAATCGACTTTGATATATTGAGGGACACCATCCTTGAGGTGGAGAAGATGTGCAAGAGGGAGAACTCACCCATAGTACTGTGCCACTGTGATTTGCTTTCCTCTAACATTATTAACAGTGGCGGCGTCCCACCGGAGGGGGTAGGCGCGGCAAACGCGGCGGGGACGGCAAACGCGGCGAACGGGGTAGGCGCGGCGGACGGGGACAAAATATCCTTTATTGACTTTGAATATTCCTGCCCCATGGAGAGGGCCTACGACATTGCGAACCATTTCAACGAGTACGCAGGGTTCAACTGCGACTGGGATTTAACTCCCTCCAGGGAAGAAGAATATTATTTTATAAAGCATTACTTGGGCACAGATGATGAGCAATTAATTAATAAGCTCATTCAGGAAATACAACCCTTTTACGTGTGTTCACACATCACCTGGGGTCTGTGGTCCCTCCTGCAAGGCATGCACTCCTCCATTGACTTTGACTTTATAAACTACGGTATGACTCGCCTCACTGCGTCCTGCCTGCCAATTTTCAGATCCAAGGTCACCAACAAAGCGGACCCATGAAGCGGCATGCGTCAGCGGTGTAGAGGCCCCGCGCAGTGAAGCAGCATGCGTCAGCGGTGTAGAGGCCCCGCGCAGTGAAGCGGCATGCGTCAGCGGTTTAGAGTTACCCCAGATGACATTCGAGTGAACCTCAAGAGTGGAAGCCGCGTAGCAAATGTAGAGGTTTGTGCAAAAAGTCCAATCCAGAGGAGACGCCCCCTTTTTTTTTTTTTTATGGAGACTGTATTTCGAGAGGGGACTTTTTATATCGAGCCCGTATTTTTGGAGCCGTTCATTTATGGAGTCCTATTTTGCTGAGGTCCCTTTTCTTATTCATTTTCTCACGGGGGGAGGGGAAGACCCCATAATTATTTGTCCACGCAAGGGGGAGGAGAAAGGCAGCCTTACGCGAGAGATGCCTCTTTTGTTGGCGGCCTTTACCTGGTTACACAGAAATGTAGAATGGTGCGAAGCGCGTAGTCTGTTTAGAGATGAGAGGTGTAGTTGGCCCAGAGGGACGAAATGTATTTGGGGTCATTACAAGATTAAGTGTAATTAACCTGTCCCTGACTGATCCTACACTAATGAATGCGAAATGGGAAGAGGGAGTATAATATAATAGAGTGGGTGTTGAATCCATTTGTTTTTTTTTTTTCTCTCTCTCTTATCGCCAGCGGACGAATTATATGCAGTCTGCCATTTTTTGTTCCTCTTCATTTTTGCACATTCTATTTGATGGCTATGATTTTTTTTTCATGCCGCCCAGTCTCACACACGCACATACATACACGAGCACCCCCTCAGTGTGAAATGCTACTCTTATCGTTTAAGCGGTGTGTGAGGGTGGACATTTTTATTTTCCCGTTTTGTGGTGGCTGCGCGTTCTGCCGCTTTACACCACAGCTACGTTTGGCTTTTTTTTTTTTTCCTTTATTTGGCTATAATTTCCAATTCATTCGAACTCTTTTTTTTTTTTTAATGAAGAGAAGAAGTGTCATCATGAGAGTTGATGTTTTTAATTTTTTTTCACTTTGCCAAGTGAACAGGTTTGCCTTTTAATTAAATTTTTTTTTTTTTTTTTCCTCTTGTTTATCCCGTGATGTGGATGTTTGTGATGCCAACCGGGTGGGGAAGAGAGCACGTCACGCGCTTATTAGACGTGACTGTTGGACGCAATTAGGGTTTCATTTATTCGAAGTTGAATTTCTGGCTAGCCAATTGGTAGGTCCCTCCCACGAGCAGCGCCGTCCAGAAGTACCTTTTCCCATATAACACACGAAGGAACAGAAAAAAAAAAATAATAATAAAATGGAAAGACACGAAATGGAATGTAATAAAATGGAACGAAATGAACATGTGCAAGTCATATAAGTAATGACGTCATCATGACGGAGTGTGCATGTATAAAGATTGAATAATTGAATGCGGGGACAGTTTCAAGTCCCATTTTGGGGGGACTGACTTGTATGTGTGGGCACTACTTGGCCAACACGCACTAGTCGATGATCAGGGGGAGGTCCTTGCGCGCGAAATGCTCAGAGGGATCCGGCTTCCTGTTATGCAGCTGTCTGTCCATCTCTTTGCGCAGTGCTTCGTAATACTCCCCCAGCTCGGAGTCACTAAGGTGGTCATACGTCGCATACTGGTTGTAGTCCTCCTGGAAGGGCACTGTCTCTGAGGGAGCGTAAATGTTTTCCCGCAACAGTTGGGGGATGTTAATGTTTTGGCTCTTTTTCATATTCTCGTCAGCGTCCATTTCAGCTTCCAACAAAATATGTTTATTTTTTTTTTTAATTTCTTCAAAGAAGGCTTCATCGACGATATTTTTTTTTTTCATGTAGTTAGCCAAATGTACAATTGGGTCTCTTTTTTTCCATGAAGCTTTTTCTTCCTGTATTCGTAGCTCATCCGGATCTGCAAGCGAGTGTCCCTTTGCACGATACGTGATTGCTTCTATCAGTACCGGTCCACACTCTCTTCTCCTCATTTGATTTATTTTTTTTTTTGCCAACCTGAACAATGCTATTGCATCATTGCCATCCACTTTGTACGTGTCCACGTTGAATGCCTTTCCCTTGGAGTAATTGTTCAGGAGGTCATCCGTAGAGCTCCTTGAGCCCTCCATGCCTATGGCCCAGTTATTATTTTCAATGACGAACATGATTGGAAGATTGTAGGTGGCTGCCAGGTTGAGGGACTCGAAGAACTGCCCGATGTTGGAGGTCCCGTCTCCGAGGAAGCACGCCACCACGCTGGTGTCTTGTGCTAGCGGCGTGTCGTCTGCTAGCGACGTGCGTGCTGTTCGTGGGGCGCTGCCATTTTGGGGGAACTCCCGCTTGTACAAAATGCTATAGGCCAGACCGACGGCGATGGGGATCTGCTCTCCTATGAAGCCAAAGCCCCCTATGAAGTTTTCCCCCTTACTGTATATGTGCATGGATCCACCTTTGCCTTTATTTGTACTTCCATAATAATTTCCATACAATTCATTAAGCACTTTTTTTGGAGGGACATTTTTGCTTATTGCATGCACATGGTCTCTGTAGGTGCTGGTGACAAAATCAGAGGGCCTCAAATTTTTAATTATTCCTGAGCTGATGGCTTCTTGCCCATTGTACAAATGTACGAACCCGTTTATCCTTTTACTATAATATAATTTTGCAACTAAATTTTCAAACATCCTTCCTAAATGCATATCTTCATAGAGCATCTTCATTTCATCTTTGCTGACCTTCACATCGGAGAGGTAATCTTCCAGGTGGTTGTCTGGTAGGTAAACGTTGTAGTTGGCTTGGTTGTTCAACTTGGGGGGATTCTCCGTACCCTCATCAACGTCTTCTGCCTCGTTTTGCTTTTTACTGTTGGGTCTTATCCTAGGGCTTCTCTCATCGAGTTGAAAAACTTTTACCATTGGCTCGTCGACCTTCTTTGACCCCACGACATGAGCCTTCATCGTTCGGTGCTTGGCTTCATTTTTTTTCGCGTCCACAGTCGTCATGCTCCAACCGCTTGCACCATTTTTGAGGGATGCGCAATTCAGAAATAGGACGTTGGGTTTCCTCTGCATGTGTACAGCTGGGATGCGCTTCACCCTCAGGATAAGTACCAAGAGAAAAAAATATACCTCCACCTTCATCGTTCCGTGGCTCCCTTTTGCCCCCTCTGTTTGCTTCTTTTACTACTGTTGTCTGCTTTACGTCACTCCTCTTTGGCACTTTTTCAATTTTGCCTCCCTTGCCTGAACAGGAGAAACAACACAAATGTGCAACCACCGGGCATATAAAAAAAAAAAAAATGCAAACTGCCACTCGGGTGTTATGCCTCCACGTTAGCGGCAAAATTAATTAGTAGGACAACTTCATCGATCTTGCAACGAGGGTAGGGAAAAAAAAAAAAAAAAAAAAAAAATGCGTGTATAAGAATTTTCCAAGTTATCACCTGCACGCAAAAATCTGCCACCGTTGCTAAGAAACACTACAACTGACAGGCTTCCACACATAGGATAAAACAACACAGTCAGATGATCCGATCCTATACATCATTGCAGTGAAAAAAAAAAAGAAAAAGAAAAAATGGTAAAGGCAGCACTCACCCATGGGGGACATGTGCAATGTGCGTTTGGGTTACTCCCTGCCTTTTTGTTATGCCACCCTGACATTTCACACTGCATGCCGGTTGCCGTGCCTTTTCCGTTTTTTTTTTTTTTTTTTTTCCAAGGCGCAAAACGCAGGGTGAACCGTTGCTGCGTTGTCAAAGGGGGAAAAAAAAAAAAAAAAATAATAAAGAAAAAAAGAGAAAATATTTTTTTTTTTTTTTTTGTTGCATACTTAACGAAAAAAAAGAAAAAAATAAATAAAATAAACTTATACAAATTAAAAAAGTCAATGCTGTTCGTTGGGGGATAGCCCTGCAGTTTCCCTTTGTGTTATTTTATTTTGTTCCCCTTTCGCGTCATTTTTTAAAGTAATTCTGTTTTGAGTATGCAAGAGTGACTGTTTAGAGTGAAGTTTTTTTTTTTTCGCTACATTCTATTGAATAACGTTTCTTGTTCCCGCCCCAAACAGAGGTGGCTCTTGGTAGGAACCTACTTCTGCTTAAGTGGTGTCAGACGGGGGGGGAGAGCAGCGTGGTTGAGTTGCCAGGTGAAAAGCACCAACGGGGGAAAAACACCTCCCAGGGAATACTTTTTTACAAAGGGCTTAGCTGTAAACCAGGACGCGACTTATTTCCCACTCGCAACAGGCACACGCTTACTTACGCATGCGCTTCGGCTGTTGAGAATTCCCTGCCACACCATCGCAGCCTCAGTAGAAAGGGGAAGTTAATAACTTTTGCACATTTTTGACGATTCATTTTTGTGAAGAGGACAGGCTGCGTGCTTATCAGAGGTGAGGAGGACACACTAATGCATGCGCCGGTAAGAAGCGGAGTGAGAAGGTGTAGTAGGTCAGACGTGATGCGGACGTGACGCACACTGCCATTGCGTCTGTACAAAAGCGCTCATGTTAGTATGTACCTCTACAACTTGCATTCCGCGTCCCCTTCGCAGACGGCGCGAGGCCAAATGGAACACCAATCCATGCCGCTGTGGCTCAGCACCTTCGAGGAGGACATTGACACATACATCTTTATTTCCTCAAGGGACAACAAACTTTATCTAGGTTAGTCTGGCTAGGAGAGCCACTGCGCCCCGTTGTTGTTCGCACCGACGCGGTGCATTAATCGACGTATTAGCGCACCACAGCCTTCAGCGTATTGCCTCATCCTCCCCGTACACATGCGTACATGCATACATACGTGTCGCTTCGCCCCCCGACAGGAATCCTGAGAACGTATGATCAACATGGGAATATATTTCTAACGCACTGTGTGGAGAAAATTATAGTCTCGGAGCGGAACTACTTTTCTGACGTCTATGTTGGTAAGTGGCGCAACGTTTTACCTTTTTCGCGTTGCTAGATGTGTGTTGCGTGGTGGGCGTTGCGTGATGCGCGTTTCACTTGTGAGGCTAGACTGCATTGGATGACGCCATGTAGGTGAAGTCGTCACCGTAAAGTAGTCTCACCCTGCACACGTTATTATCACCGCGTGCACACAGGAAACCTGATCATCAGGGGAGACAACATCGCTTACTTCGGCTCCGTGGATGAGGAGAAGTACGCAAAGATGTTTGACTATTCACAAGAAAATAAGGCAGGAAATGAAGCAGGGGATACTTCAGAAGCCGATGTGCAAAAGAGCCAAGGACCCCTGACCTCCGAAAATGTAGTTCTACAGTACAAACCACTAAATCAAATTTTGAATTACCTGCCGGATAATAATCAGGACTCCGCCGTGTTTGAGAATTAAAAATTCGGTTTGCAAAATAAAATTTAAAATGAAAAATGGAAGAATGAATGAGGGAGTGAGGGGACGAAGTACCCGTCGAGCCAGGCAACCCCCTTTTTATGCCCACAAATTGGGCCTGTTACTCCACACCCCAAGAGGTTAGGATTACATTTGTTTAACCTATATTTATTTTCCTGCACTGTGCAGGTGATTTACGACATGCACATTTGTGTGAGGGAGGGGGAAAATAACGAAGCTTCTCCATCATTTGATCCCCTTCCGTGAGTTTTCCTTAACGAGCGCGTGGCCTCATTTTAGTAGCGTCTATGTTGATGTTGTTCCTTTGTTGGCTCTCTTTTTTTTATCTTCCGTTTGGGAATTGTCCCAGTTGGGAAGTCAGTTTTGGTGCCCCACCCCCCTGCTGGGCCCCTCCTTATTTATTTTATTTTATTTTATTTTTTTTTTTGTGTATCCACCTTCTCCTTCGCCACTTGCAGTAGCGTATCCCATTCTGTTTTTTTTTTCTTTCCTTTCCTGTTGTATATTTTGCTCCCCTGTGAGGTCTCTCTTGTTGTCTGCCACTTCCCTCTCTTCACCTGCTTAACTTTTTACTCCACCAAAAAGAGACATTTGGCGAATTACGGATAATTAATTTTTTCCCTCTTCACCATTTTGGGTCTGTCATATATGGCTCTTTTTTTTTTTTTTTTTTTTTTTTTGCCTCCCCTACTGGTTAACTAAAGGATGTATATTCGTTCCTACGAATGTGACATTTGCGATAAGTCAGGGGAAAACCTTCCTTTGTAATTTGTCACCACTTGTGAACCAAGACAGATGGGGAAAGACGTCGACCGGGTGAAGAAGCCACTCGCACAGAGAGCACACATGAGGTGTAAGCGCTACGTTTACTTAACCTCGGAGTAACAAAGGGAAGAAAAAAAAAAAAAAAAAACCACCACATGGTGCCTGTTCACAACATCTGGCTGAGTCAAGTTCGGTTTGACCGAGACTAAATTAGACAAAGTTAGATTCGATAATTGATAATTCTTGTTTTGGGCCATGCAGCGGGTAAAAAATGAAAAAAAAATGAAAAACTGCCAAACATGCTTGAACAAGCCGCGACACATGCTTGGCACCATGGGTACCAATAAACCTTCGAGGGGATTCACACACTCGCCGTGTGCTCATGCACAGGAGGAAGCCCCCTCCTCCACCTAAATGCAGAGGTTCCACTGAACACTTTTTAGAGGAGACAGACAGGCGGATACACAGACAGACGGACGCAACTGGGGGAGGGGGGCACCTATTTAGGTGGAGGGGAGAGGTGCCCATGATCACATGGACGTATGCGCACACGCACACACACGCGCGTTCGATGTGAACTTAAAAATCAGGGAAAGGATTAAAACAATTAGCAGCGCAATCGCCAAACGAGGCCAAAGGGGGAAAAAAAAAAAAAGAAAAAAAAAAAAAAGCAGTGGTGAAAAATGGTGCCAAAAAATTGCAGCGATGACGTAAACACAGAAAAAGCTGGCGAATACAAATTTGCGAAATGCTTAAAAAATTGGCTACAGGAATTTCAAAAAAAAAAAAAATAAATAAAATAAATAAATAAAAATAACAACAGCGTTAGCAATTTTTGCAACAACTGCAACTGCCCAGCAACAATTGGGAAGGCCAGAAAGGTGCACACGAGGGAGACAGAGGCCGCGCGTCAAACGGACACACGACCCACAACAGAAAAGCATAAACTCAATGCTTCAAATTTCAGTCGTTCTTGCTTTCACTCGAACGAGCAATGTCCGCGGAACATGTACGCTGAAATGTGTGTACAAAAAAAAAAAATAATAAATAAATAAAAAGGAAAAAAAGAAAAATTAGGGAGAGAGACGGAAGAGCTGATAGGAAGTCGTGGTCACGGATATGTAAACACTAATTCGAAGGGGATGGTGACAAATATGTTATGATCTGTGGGAAACAAATGTCGCGCACGGTTACACAGAGGAGGCATACATTCCGCTGCACAACACACCGCGGTATATACAGGGGCGGGGGGGAAGGCAAAAAAAAAACAACAATTAAAGTAGCTAATATGAGTCCTTCGAAGAATCGCTTTCTGTGTCTGACACATCACTGCGCTTGCTCTTCAACTCCAGCTGCACTTTACACCAGCTGTACATTTCTCTGCGGAAGGAAGGGGAAGAAATGGGGTGATATGAAAATATGGGCATATGGGCAAAAATAATACCTCGGAGTAAACAAATGGGAGGGAAAAGGGCAAACACAGTGTGGGAGCAAGGAAAAAAAAAAATTAAAAACGTTGGGGGGGGTCACATTATCATGCGGGCTTCCTCCCCTGGAGAATGACGCAGCCGTACCTGAACACATCCGCCTTGGTGAGTTTGTCGTCCAGTTCGATCTCGCCGCTCTCGAGGGTTTTCCACACGGCTTTGCTTTTGAACTTGCGGAACAGCTGCAAAAGGGAGGTGGCAAGTGATACGTCAAACGTGAGAAGTGATACGTCAAACGTGAGAAGTGATACGTCAAACGTGAGAAGTGATACGTCAGAGGTGATACGTGAGAAGTGATGCGTCAGCGGTGATACGTGAGAAGTGATACGTGAGAAGTGATACGTGAGAAGTGATACGTGAGAAGTGATACGTGAGAAGTGATACGTGAGAAGTGATACGTGAGAGGTGATACGTGAGAAGTGATACGTGAGAGGTGATACGTGAGAGGTGATACGTGAGAGGTGATACGTGAGAGGTGATACGTGAGAGGTGATACGTGAGAGGTGATACGTGA